ATAATAAAATCTTGCTATACATAAAGCTAAGTAAAATTACATTTATTATTTTTTTTTTCAAATTACAATATTAATTAGGAAAATTATATTTATAACACCATGTTATATAACACCCAATCACGTGATATACAACCAAATAAACAAACAGCCCAATGTTACACAAAGTCGCAGCCGGAGTTGGGAGCACGATATAAATTAGCCAATCAAAAACCATTAATTTTTGGTACACAAATAGGTTAAACGAAGTTATACAAATTAGCAAAAATGATGCTAGTGTTACAACATATGGGCGAAAATCTCCAATTTTGTGATGATTTTATGCGAGTTATTAGGTTAAATAAAATTTGAGCCAATCATTTATGTGATATGGCATGATTATTGAGAATAAAAGTGATTTTTTGATCAGAGGTTTAAGCCCAATAATGAATTGCTTATGAATCGCTTATGAATTTTACTCATAAATTTGTACCTGATTGTAACCTGATGCTTATAAATTTTGTACGTATGTACCTAATTGTGGCCTAATTGTGACCTAATTACTTATAAATCTAATAATCACTGTGTTTCAACTGGAGATTTTCGCCCATATGAATCAGACCAAAAATTTTTTTAGAAAATCGATTAATCGACGATTAATCGATTAGCTGATTAATCGATTAGTCACGATTAATTGACTAGTCAACTAATTGATTATCTAACTAGTCGATTAATCGTCGATTAATCGATTTTCAATTTAGTCTAAGCCACTCTTGGAACATTAATGAAAAGCAGATTCTGATTTTATTTTAATGATTCTTCCATTCATAGTAATAAACTAAACTCGCGTTATACATGTACATACGTACATACAGCAAAGATAATATTGATATCGATATCGATATTGGTATCAATATATTGATAATATAGTTGAATACGATATACTTAAAACAGATGTTATTAGCACCTTTATTAAATCTCAATTAGCATTTTCATAACGCAGTATAAGATATGTACTTGTTGAAAAAAGTTAATTTAGAACTGGTCATCGCCTTGCTATAAATAATAAAAGAACTTCATTAATACAATATAAAAGATAGAACTTTTTTAAAAAAGAAATCATCGAACCTCTAAATGCAAAAAAGACTACTGTATTATTTGATTTACTCAAACTCTTTATATGAATGCATATAATCTATAATATAATATGAAAAAAAAGTTTATTAGCATTCATCCTAATCTTAATATAAAAGTAAAGCAATGTAAGCTATTTAAACTAACATTAACGCAAAAGAGAAACTTCAAAAAAAACCCATTATCGTTTAACTCGTCCATACCTATGTAGCATGAAAAAAAAACAAAACAGAAGCATACCAAGAGAAAACCTGAAATTTTTTTTCTAATAAGATTTTCCGGTTTTTTCTTGGCGTCACTGATACAGTATAAGTAATGAACATGTGAAATTTATAACGTATGCATGTACCTACGTATACACACCGCTACTTTTCTAGATTGGATTTTTTTTGTGGACATGTGCTCTTATAGTGATTAGGTTCATGACAAAGTCCACATAGTCTTGTGCTTGCACCTGATTTAGCTTTTTTTTTTGATGTATAATCTTCTTGTGCACCCTTAATACGATTCTTCTTTGGAGCCCCTTTTCCAATATGATTTAAGGGATTAGCAACATTATCAATAGAAATTAGTTGATTATCATCAGTTTCTATGGCTAAAACGTTTTCTGAACTATGGTTCTCTCTAAGAATTCTCATTTCTCTTTCTTTAGTTTCTTTTTCACGTTGAAGAGTCTTTTTTTCAATGTAATTTTTCAAGAGAGTATCTAATTCATTATCATTTTCGCTATTCTGTAACGTAATAGCCTTCTTTGCAAGACTCATTGATTTGTTAAATTGAAGCTTCTTGTCTACAGATTTTTGAAAGCTATTTTCCTGGACATCATCGATTCTAAGTAAGTTCACGTTTGTTGCATTACATAATTGATGTGTAATCATTGCTAATTCGGTATTTCGATTTGATGTTAAAAATGGTTCTTGAGCACGTTCAGATTCAGTTATATTATCCTTGCACCAACGAATAGGCAACAGCATTATATGGAACCTTGCAAAATCTGATTCAAGTAACACACAAAAAAAATGTCGACATACGAGCCCATGATTAACCGATAAAAGGCAAGTACATAGATGACGTCCATTTTTATACAATATAACATAATGAACAGACTTAGTCGAAATCAAGCATGTAATTCTCCAAACTTCTTTAACAGAAGAATATTCATTTTCTTTAATTAAAGCCAATAAATATGATTGCGAAACATCATATGTGTTTTCAATAAAATCATCATCATATGTAACGTCTTGTAAATTTAATAAATCAGAATTCCACGACTGTAAAATAGAGCAGTTAATTAAAATAGCAAATAACAATAAAAATAACCCCAATATCACCTACATACGTTTAATATTTGAGCCCGGTAGATAGTTGATTGAACTATCTGCTTTTGTTGCTCAGTTGCTAAATTTGGTGTTAAATACTTATTTATTTGTTGAACGACTTGTGGAAAAACAGTCTGTAAAACAAGATTATCATTATAATTAATTTGGTCCTAAGACCACGAATTAAAACGTTGACTAAGGCTTTCATGCTCAATGCGTTGGTGTATTGCTTCCATTACTTGTAAAAAGTTGATGAACTATTTATAGCAGTTTTGATATGATTATTAAGTCCTTCAACTCTCTGTGTCGATTGCATTCCACCAGTAAAAATTTTAAATGTATAAGCACATGCCCACGATTCTTTACTTAAAAATAGCTTTTGTAGATACGAAGATGCAGCCGGATAATTATTCAAAAGATTTGTAAATCTAGCCTCAAATACACTTTCACTTAAACTATTACGCGCCAAATAAAAATCTTTAATAAAATCTGTATACTGCACGCCAAGCTTACATCGAAGATTTTTTAAAAGATTTTGACTTAAATGATACAAACAAAATAAATGTTTGGTATTCGGAAGATCATGAGCTACAACATATTTCATGGAAAGATCTTCATCCGTCATTAAAATTCTTGCAAAATTCCAGTAGCTTTTTTTAATTGCCCCATAACCCAACAAAAAGATTCAATAGTTTCATCAGGCATTAAAGCCTGTGCTGCGATTCGTGTTTTGTTATGATTATCAATTAAAACAAAGAGGCACAAAGGAAAATTATAATGGTTTGTTTGTGCCGTATTGTCTTGAACTATTATGTCACAAAACCGAATCCATCTTTCACGTTGACCCGGGTCCATCCAAAAAATTCCACGGAGACGATTACTAATAGAGTCAACTAAGGGTTCAATATACCAATTAGGATCCTTTTCTCTATATTCATAAAGTTGTTTTAAAAGCTGTGATGCTTCACTTCCTTCCACATTATGTTCTCGTCGTAACTGAGCCACAACATTTGCAAGATCACGTGTTAAGAAAAGCTGGTCGGGGTATTTAACAGATAGAAGAGATCGTATTGTCGACAGGTCACACCGACCATTTACTGTTAAATGGCGAATTTCTTCGCGACAATTATCAGAGAATCGACGATTTACAGGAGCAAAAATTTTGGTATCTGGTGAAAGTTGATGCTCAACATGGTTATCATTAAAATGAGTGATATGAACTACACCAGTTGCAAATGACAAATTAACTTTCCAATTACAGTTAAGTTTTTTAGAACCTTTATTATGTTGATTTTGTAAGTTATTAGTTTTCTTTGGTTGATATGTTCCACTAAATTCACACTTATAATACAGGTTTATTAAACGTCCATTACGATCAGTTTTATTACGTATCTTAATTGGTACAAATCCTTTTTGACGGCCATATTCAGCAACATAATGTTCTGCAATTGACCAGTTAGGAAAAGTATCATCAATGGCGAATACGATTGCTTTGTTAATGTGAGGTAATGCGCCATTAATTCCAACCAAATCTTGTCCTTTATGGGTTTCATGCACTTCATCATGTGTTTCATCATGCACTCCATCATATGTTTCATCATGCACTTCATCATATGTTCCATTATACGTTTCATCACACATTTCATCACGCATTTCATCACGCATTTCATCACACGTTTCATCACATAATGTTTCTTGAGGGGAGTCTATTAATTCTTGAAAAGAATTTGGAGGGGAATTCATTACTTTTTGAGGAAGGTCCACTAATTCGTGAACAGATTCTAAAAATTCTTGAGGAGAGGGGTACAAATTTGAGACTTGATGTCTCATAAAATGTTCTGAGTTGAAAGTAAATTCCATAAATCGTAATTGTTTGGAGTAAAAAAGATCAGGAGGAAGGCTAAAAGTAATATCCGCACAGGAAAACAACCACAAAAAAGAATTAAAGGTCAATAGAATGAAATAGTTGACGTCTAAAAAATAAAGATAAGTTAAATTCAGAAAATATTCTTATGAACATAAACACCATAATATCCATACCACTTTACTACAAAAAAAGCCACACTTCAATTCGACGCTTCAATTAGAAAACCACCCAATAACCTTATGAAGGTACAAAAAATGCAAAAACCAAAAAGCCGCCCAGCGCCTTTGCAAAAGTCAGAAAACCCGTTAATAAAGAAGTTTAACATATTTTACCAAACACATTTATGAAGGCAAAAAATTACCTGACGCTTTAATTAAAGCGAAAACCACACAACACCTTTTCTAAGACAAAAAAAAGCTACCCGCAGTGAAATCACTTAGCACCAAGTGCCACCTGACACCTTTGTAATAACAGAAAGAACCTTCAAACATGGTGCATACTTGATTGTTTTATTTAATATAAAAACAATAAAAAACTTTTAATTTTAAAAATAAAATACGAATACCACATAAATCTGTATATTATAATTACTTCAAGTAAAGCAAACAATATGTCGTTTCTTTAACCGTGCTAATTGTTTAACATATTCTTACTTAAACTATGCTTTTTTTACTTAATTTTATCTTTTTTTGAATGAAGATAACTCAAAAGAGCTGAATTCTTTTTTCTTCCATATTATTTATTCATGAACTCATATTTTCGCAGCACTTTTGATTGAACGGTCGTGACTAAAATCATAAAGAAAAGTATTCGAAAAATTTTATTATTGTTACATTATACTGATCTTTGAATTTATTTAACACGATTCGTAATATTGGCCTAAAATTTTTACAGTTTGAATTAATATCTAAAAATGAAGTGATGCCGGAAATATCGTTCTCTTCCATTTCTTAATACTGATTTATAAGTTTTTTTTTAAAAAAAATATATCCAAATTTGTATCTCTTAATGCGTTAGATAGGTGCAGGCAAATTTGCCTGCAAAAAGCTATATATATATAGCGTTAAAAATTTTTTTATAAAACTTTATGTAATATTTCAATATAATATTCATTAAGGTTTATGTTATTTTTAAACTATAAATTATAAACATTAATTATACTTTATAAAAATTTAGCATAATTTAAAATTGACTGATTTTTATAAAATAAAATTAAATAATTAAGTTATTAATATTTAAAAAAAATTTTAAATATATTCGAACCTTTAAAATATTACTAAATTTTTACTTTAAGTATTAATCCATATAAAAATAATTATATTTATTCAATATTTATGTTTAAAATACATATGTACGTATATATACATGTACATACGTGCAATATGTATATATCAGATATATATGTTGTGCGTCAAATTAGAATGGGTGTGGGTTTAGAACTGAGTTGCGTCAGATTGAAATTCAAGTTTGAGATGTGTGAAATTAAAATTTTCAATTTGCGTCAACTTAAAATAATTTATTCATAACAATAAGCAGAAAATAGCAAATAATTATACAATTAATTCAGTACATGTATTATACTTGAATTTTGTTATTACACATATTTCCGCTATGACATTTACTTCCACACCCAACATTGGATTTTTTGCAATGACATTTGTTGGTGTTACAGCTGCCTTTACATTTGCACATCGTTCCCGTAAGCATGCCAGTACTTTGGCTTCGTGCTGCTTCTCTAACGGATATATAATCCGATGGAATGTGATCCAAATCTGGATATTCTTTTATGCCTAATAGTTCCATCTCACCTGCACAATACAAGTTATTCAAAGTACCATCTTTGCACCCAAGACGGTATTTAAATGTATCATTATAGCTTAGTTTTTCTAAGACCTTGCATGGAAGGATTGGTCGATCTGTACCAAACCGATCGATTTTAGGGATAAGTATCTTTACATATTCCCCAATTTCATATTCTAATTTACGTTTTGGTCTTGCAACCATTGCAGCAGTCATTTTGACTGTATAATTCTCTAAATTTTGACGAGCAAAATCCTGTAATACTTGGTGCCCTGTTGGTGGCTGATTTGATATATCTTGTAAAGGTAATGACTGTATAAAAAAAAAATTTTTTTTACAGATCAAATTAATATAATACTCATTCACACATGAACAAATAATTATAACTTACTGTTACTGTTTCTTGGCTTTCATTATCTGGACTCAAATCTTGATTTAAACTTGCTGATCTACTTGAGGACTCAACTTCTATTAAAGGTACAGTATCGGGGTTATCTATTAAATCATCTAAATCATTAATTGGTTCTTGAATATTTTCTAACCCAAATTCGTCTGGGATTTTATCTTCTGAAGAAATATTTGTTTCAAACAAGTGATCAAGTGCTGCAGAATGTCCATGTGGCATTCCACCAAATACAAGCTCATAAGGTCTTTTATTATGTGCTCTAAAAATTGAGTTGTTTATTGCATAAATTACGAATCTCAATCCGAATGACCAATCCTGACGGTTATTATCCTCCATTCACTTTCCTAACTTTATTTCAAGAATTCCATTCACTAGGGCTCCGAAGTCTGGGTCCAGGTCCGGCCGAACCTGGACGCGAACCCAAACTCGAACCATAAATTTTAAAATTTTCGGACCCGGACACATAAAGTGTCAAACTCAAACCAGACTCAAACATAATACAGGTTCAGTTCGGGTTTGGTTCGAATTTTGCAAACTTGTTTAGGTTCGGAATTTATACTGTATATACAGTATTGCAGTAAATCTTTAGTAAAGGGGGAGCCCTAATTTCTCTATTAGTTGTGATTGGTCGCATGAAATACTGTCTTCAATTGGATAAACTAGATCACACCACCCTCCGCAAAATCAAAAACATTGTTTTTTTTCAAAAAAAAATTCAAATAATTATTAAGCGAAAGTTTATGCACTTTTGAAATTCTTGTAAAAAAAAAAAAAAAAAAAAAAAAAAAATTGAAATAATATAAACATACTGAAAATAAGTGCTTCTGACACAATCAAGAAAATTTTATAAAGTCTTTTATTCAGTACTTTATTCTCAAGAGAATAAAATTTCGCTAAGACCTACATTTACAGGCTTGTAATTTTAAAAAATACCAAATCAGTTTCAAAATTCTTTAATTATATTTTGGCCGCAATATGGAATAAATTTTATTTTCCAATACTTTTTGCCCCATTGATTAAGGCGCTTGAGAACACCCAAAAACATTTAATAAAGTTTTTATTCAATTAACCAACTTGAAGATCGATAACTGCCCTCAATTAAAGAATGTTAATTGTTCTAACAATCAATTAACCAACTTAGATTTAAGCAACTATAATAAAAATTTTCTTTATTTTTTATTAAAAAAATAACAATAAATCAAAATGCTGAAGAACTT